GTAGCGTACAATAGCGTACAACGCATATACTGTCCAGAAGTTAGTCAGGAAACAAAGCCGGACATTCACTTACAGATTAATATACCCTCAGGTCAAACAACCAGAAATCAAAAAATGGGTAACACTTACATATTTTGGAGGAATAAAAGAGATAATTGCTGGTTTCTTCAGAAAAAACAATGTGGAAGTGGCATTCAGACCACATGCCAGGTTATCTCATTTCCTTTTCAAGGCCAAAGGATGAGGTCGACAAGTTGGAAAAATCTGGAGTTTATAAGCTTAAGTGTTCGGAGTGTAATAGTGTTTATGTGGGACAATGTGGCCGAAATTTCCAAAAACGGTATGCTGAACGTGAAAGGTTCTTCAGACTAGCAAAAATGATTCGACGTTTTCAAACCATTGCTTGTCATGCAACCACAAGTTTCCGAATCTAAACGATACGGAAATTCTGCACTATGCCAGGAAGGTTGCAAACTCAATTATTTAGAATCCTCGCAAATTCACAAGAATAAACATTGCGGGTGCAACCTGTTAAATGATCAAATCGATTTAGTCTACTCGCCGGTTTTTAAATTGGCATATCCGCATTGCTAACTGTAAATTCAGGTACTCAATCAAGTCAAGTACCTCTATTTCTATTAGTACCTACAGGGATGGTATATAATGGCGAATGTGATGAATTATTGTTAGTTTATTGTATAAGTTTGAAAATGTCCATAAAGGACGAAACTGCAGTAACATTAGTTACAAATAAAATTGGTTAGAACATAGAAAATTTCATTTCTCTTTTCTTCATTATGATTTCCTATCACGTAGTAAGGGCTACATCCATCAATTTAATCAAATTATTCAATTATCATCATACATAGTTTCACAAAATGAGTGGCATACTTGAAGACTAGCTGTGAATGAAATTATCTAAAAGAACAATTCGTTCAGGCCAGTCTTCATTCACCTACACAGTAGATTGATGGACTGACACCTACCAGAAAACAACCAGGGGAGTAGCTAATACCACGAAGTGCATTGGATTATATCCGACAGGTATCAGTGCAGGATTCTTCACTGAAATCAGTCCTGCATATGTTGTTGGCGATACAACTGCCGAAATCGATTTTGGAAAATCATCGATTTCATGTTGGTGATAGACACTACCTTGCACTGACAAGTGGCTAAATAGCCTGAAACCGGTCTGCAAGTATGTTCCAATAATTGAAAATCGATTCCGGCAGTTGTATCGCCAATAACATATGCAGGACTAACTTCAGTAAAGAATCCTGCACTGATACCTGTTGGATATATTCCACTGCCCTTCATGGTATTAAGCAGGAGAACAGTTGTTTCCTGATAGGTGTCAGTCCATTAATCAACATTGTAGGTAATTTGAGACTGGCCTGAATGAATTGTTCTTTTAGATGATTTGATTTACAGTCAATCTACAACTTTGCCCACTCATTATGTGTGAAGATTTTTACTTATACAAGGAATTAGGTGAATTAGGGATATGCGGTTGGTTACCTCGTACACGAGCAGATGATGCGTCGACATACATGTTGTTTGTCGTCCGGTTCTGCCTAGATCGAAGAATGATACTCTGAAAAGAATTCGATTTTCAATTATGGGAAATCATCGACTCCATATTGATGATAGACACTACCTTGCACTGACGAGTGAAGAAGCTCGCACTGGTACCTGTCAGATATAATACAACGCCCTTCGTAGTATTAGCCAGGGAAGTAGTTGTTTTCTGATAGGTGTCAGTCTACTAACCTATAGTGTAGGTGATTTGAAACTGGTCTGAATGAATTGTTCTTTCAGATAAGATAGTTTATAGATTATCTAGACAAGAACTACTTCATAAGAACGGTCCAAACACACAGATCTCATAATCATAATAATGCTAGACAAAGCACTCTCTGCAGGTTACGAGGAACCTCAGATGCTTCGATACAGGATTCAATCATCCATATCAGAATATTACTGGAGTTTAGTCCAAAACACCCAATCACGTGTTTCAATCACCAAGTGATCATCCTCAAAAAGAAGATTGAACTTAATATTTATCTTGAAGATGATCACTTGGTTATCAAAACACGTGTCGAGGTGTTGAAAATATCGATTTGGTGTTGTGATTAAATTCCTGTAATAATCATTACTACACCAAAGGTTCCAAACAGTACATCACACAAGTACATCCTATATCAGTATCAAAATATATAATCATCTATCCACTACAATAAAAAGCATTTCTTGCATCATACTTTTTGAAAATCGACAAAAAGCTACCACTACTACTCACCATATGTTCTCAATGACTATTTTTCTTCACCTTTCAATATTTTCTTTAGCATGATAGAACTGACCGATACTTCAATGTGGGATATCTACTTAGGTGGAAGTGTCAATCTTAATTTAAAATAATATGTTTTTTGAATACGTTATTTTCATTAGTATTCTGAGACTCTCACATGTGCTTCTACCGAGGATTATTCTGAGATTATATTTCAAATCGTTGACATACATATTTTTATATACAGTTTATATGAATATTCATTTTATATTAACATTTTAGTAATGATAATGATGATAATAATAATGAGAGAGCAGAAATAGAAGCATTTCTCTTCAGGGCAGCTGCACAAGCAGCTGATGAACTAGGTTTAGTTTTCGACACTGAACGAGGTGACTACAATTCTGTCACCGAGTCGGAACCCGTTCAGTAAAAAGCCGCAGAGATCACTCCACTTCTGCGGAAACACAAGGATAAGCCAATGCATAGCATGTTCTTCATTAACATAGAAGACCTTGGCTTATCAAAGCCAAGGTCGCTTTCGCTTTCCTCAGGTCGAGTGGGCTGAAGTCGGAAACTGAGGGGTTCATCATGGCTTGCCAGGATGATGTCTTCAACACCTTAGTCTACCGCAGTCGCGTAATGGATATAGAGGTTTCTGATACAAGGTGCAGAGCCTGCCGCGAGGCGCCTGAGACCCTAAGAGCGCCCATACACGAGCCACATTTTGCGGTCTAATGGACATTCTGAAGTTAGTAAAATTTTTTTTTTCGACTTTTTCGCGGAGTTTACCGGCTGTTGCTTGTATGTTATTTCATTGTAATTTCACTTTTTCGCTCAATAGAATTTTTTTTAACCTAATATTTTCAATTTCTTTACAGATTTTGTCAGGGATTCCAAATCAATTTATATCATATTAGATAATGTAAGTCCGAAGTGATGAAATGCACCACGGAACATTGTCAACCACCTTCAAACAAAATAAATTTCCTTCCTGTTGTCGCAACCAGAAGTGGATGTACCCAAAACGATCGTACCTTCCTACGTCTTCTCCTTTTCCTCAAAATAAGAAGTAGTAGTGCTTCTTCTTCAAAATCCATATTGAAACTGGTACTACACTCTGACACCACAAAATATAGATGTCAGTTGCTTCAACTGCAAGTGCGGTTTATATGACAGCAAGTCGACCACGAAAATATGGTTGGGTCAACCGCAAAGTGCAGTCAACGTGGCCACCATGTTGTGGTTGCCTCAACTGCAAATATGTGGTCCGTGTAAGGCCGGACTAATGCACTTGCTATCAGCATGTCCAGCATATGCAGTCTTGGCCTTTATCCATAGATAAAGCCCTGAGAGTGCTTTATTACCATATACGGCACTCTTACGATATTGGCATATTACGGTATTGATATTATGGTATTGAATTCGTTGTGGGCTCATACAAGCCAATAAGCGTGATCTAGTCCTTCTCGACTACCAGAGCAAGAATCAATGCAGAAGGCTGTCATTCTTGGTTCACTGCGCTTGCTCAGGGCACATTATTCTTGGATTCAATGATCACTTACCCCACGATGTAGGTCAGGGGTCTTCAACGTTTATGAAGCCAAGGGCCAACTATACATTGATATTTGTTCGGTGGGCCGCAATAAAACAAAAACTTTTTATTACTAGCTGCGATCCGCGGTTTCATCTGCTTTTTTTCAGTTCCAGTAAGAATGTTGAAATAAAAACTAACAATAATATTTATTATTTGATTTTACAGTACTAAAAGTAATTGAAATTGAAATCAATGAGACGTTTGACATTTTATTCTTAACTAGCTTATCAATATCAGTCCCTATGGTGGTCGTTGAAATCCTCAAACTGTTTTCAAGGTGAATATCGGTGATTCTACTCCTTGTCTTCGACTTAACGTTTTTCATCCGAGAAAATAACTGCTCGCACAGGTATGTGGTACCAAACAGAGATGTCATTTTCAGTGCATGGTCTCTTATCTTAGGAAAATGTGTAGTAGTGATGTATTTTGAATAGAACTCGAACAATCCTAAGTTGAATTTGTCTTTCAAAAAAGAGTTGCATTGTAATTCTATCAACTCCATCTGAACATCATCAGGGACATCTTCGACAGAAACATTGAATGGGCGAGCAAACAAATTCAAGCTTTTTTCATGTTTTCGGAAATCGGTAAAACGCGACTCGAATTGTGTTTTCAGATCCAGCAGCGCGGTAATATATTTGTCCATGTTGAGAATTCGACATGACGATAAATGTGGAAAATGCGTGGTCATATTATTTTTTAACTGATTGATCCACAACTCCAACTTCACTTCAAACGCTTTTAAAGCGTCAAATAGTACATGAACTATATTATCTTTTCCTTGCAATTTCTTATTTAAATCATTGAGATGTGCTGTTATATCAACAAGAAATCCAAAATCACTTAGCCATTCTTCATCACCAAACTGTGGAATAGCTTTATCCTTATTAAGCATAAATGCTGCAATTTCTTTTCGCAAATCGAACACCCTTTTTAACATTTTTCCTCTGCTAAGCCAACGAACATCACAAAAATAGGTAATGTCACCATATTCGGCGTCTTGTTCTTTTAAAAACTCCTGAAATTGCCTGTGGTTAAGACCTCGAGATTTGATGAAGTTAACGCTTTTTACCACAACACTCATAACGTCTTGAATATTAACTGACTTAGCACTTAAATTCTCTTGCAAATTCCAGCCAAATTTGATAATTTGAGTCCATATCTATCTATGACGGAATTGAACGATTCCAACACATCACATCCTCTTGTACTGCCTTTCATAGGAAAAAGAGCAGCCATTTCTTCGGTAACGACAAAATTAACGTCAATGCCGCGAATGAACACTGCCAGTTGAGCGGTGTCAGTTATGTCGGTACTTTCGTCGAGTACAATGGAGTAGTAAACAAATTGCGACACGCGTTCCTTTAATGATCGTTCGATATCATTAGCCAATTCTTCTACCCTCCTTGCGACTGTAACGCCGGAGAGACTTATTTTGGAAAAAAGTTGCTTTTGCGAGGGACATAAACTTCTGCTGCGGCCTCCATACATTCTTTTATGAATTCACCGTCGGTAAATGGTTTTGACTTCTTAGCAATTTTCTCCGAAATTATGTAGCTAACTCCTACACTTGCTTCACTATCTTCATTTTGTTTGTGAAAAGAATTCTGTTGTTTTTTATATGTACATTTTCATTTAGCGAATCGATTTTGAGAAATTTATTATTTATCAAGTCGCCTATGGCGCTTTGATCAATCTGAATAATTGTTTGAGATGAACACTAAGATATAATGATGCTTTCAATTTCCAATATTTTGAATGTTATATATCAGTTCAAATTATAAAGATATAAAACAAGCAAAACTTCATGACAAGTGTTCAAAAACACAAACGTAGCTTCTTTTTGAAATATTCAGGAATATTTGTCAACATACGTGGGCCTTCATTCACGAAAGCTTCTCTGACGCGTTGTTTCAGATTGCCTGGTATTGTTGGAAGTGTAAGAATATTATGGAATATCTCATCAATATATCCCCGTAAAAAAAAATTAGGTGACGTCAGGTCGGGTGATCTTGGGGGTCAAGTTCGGAATCCATCCATCCATCCAATCCATCGATTTCGTAAACGAAAATCTCGTAATAGGAATTCAAAAATTTCATTTAAAAATTACATTCGAATGTTTTTTGAAATAATTACACCAAACTCAAACATCTATTCATGCACCTGCAGCTTCGTAAGAATGTATCATCTTTCCCACCAACCGAATTCCTAGAGTCTTTGAAGTCCACTAGATACTCGTTGGGGTTCTTATTGAATACTCTTCGTGAGCAGAAAAATAGCAGAATTAATACCCCTGACCGCTCTGGATTGAATGATTCCATGCAGTCTATCTCGTTGTGTTTTTGTAGATGTTATGCTGGGAAAATCCTCACTAGTTTACTCTGTAGTACATGCTCAAGAGGTAGCAAAAACGAACTTCAACTAGCGTTATCTGATATGACTGATAACCAATTCGTGCAAATGTTATTGTTAAATTATCTGACAATAGAACTTTTAACAAGTGATGATCGACTGTATTGCCAAATATGCGCCAAACTATCCGACTATTATAAGACAACAAGTAGGTATATCTGAGGCATCAGTCAATCTAATAATAACACAGATGATCTTCAAACATGACTTATCCTTTGACAAAAGCACCAAACTCTTACGAAAGTTCGAAATAGATGAAGACTTCAATCTAGCAGACCACTGTTAAAATCTTCATGCAGTCATTGTTCACTGTGGTTCTGGCGTTGAATCTGGTCATTATTACGCATTGGTCGAAGACGAAACGGACTGGTTTGAGTTTGACAATAGTCGTGTCACTAAATATTTTGGCAATATCTTGAATTTATTGAAGCCTCAGGAGACACCCTACATTTCATTTTATGAAAGAGGGGCCATTGACAGATCAAGATCTTCATATGATATGATACTGTCGGTTTTTTTGGTTTTCCTTCAGCTATAAAAGCAAATGCGCCACTGGAATTAATCAAGTCGCCCCGGAGCGCCAATTAATTTTTGTTGTTGTTATTGTTTCATAATTTCATAATTTGTATTGCTTTCAATAAAACTGTTCACCAATTCAATTTTGACATATAATTCTCATACATTCACTAACCGCCTGTGTTAATTATGGATGATTCCAAATTTATATGAATTAAAATCAGAATAATAGCGTAAGATTTTGACATTCATAGAGAGTTTCGATAACAGAGACTATAATAGCAAATTCGGTTTTTTGTGTTCTGTTACAGGTTTATTTTCAATCTGTTTTTCAAAATGAAATCTTCCGTTTCATCTAAGTAGTGTCAATAATCTCTTGAATGCAGCTTAGTTTAGGTGATTCATGTTGGGAAATCTCTCAGCATGAATTTGTGATACCAAAAAATAGTTTTTACAACATTCTCCAAGCATAAAAATCATGTCAATTCTTTCTTCTTTCGATAACCTAGCATTATTGGCAACAAAATGATGAAAACTAGATGCAATCACTGATAGCAGAGTTCAGAAGCAAACACTCATAAATAACCGAGAACTAAAAGGGAAAAATTGTTAAAACATCATATGAAATTTGATTTATAATACATTTCTCAAAATCGATTTGCAGAATAGAAATATACATTTTACTTAGAAACGTGAAGAGTCAGCTATAGAAAGGTATTTGGTAGGCAACTACATTTGACATCTGATGTGGACATGAAATACAGGGCGTTTCATTTAGATTAAACAACTTATTGCTATTTGAGGGTTGTAATTGTTTCGTTTCAATTTGTACACACCCTGTATAAATTAGCGAATATTTCACAAATGCGATATATGAGTTGTTACATATGTAACATGTAGCATAAATTTGGTTATGAACATGAATTGAAACTTACACCTAGATTTTCATACAAGAAGAGATATGTCAAGTACCATAAGGTTTGGGTGGACTGAACCTCAATGAAACTCCCTCTTATTTCGATTGTAGGGTCCCAAAATTGAATTATATACTAGGTATTTCTTTTAAAAAATAACAACTTTGATACGTTTTGTGTTTCTGGCACACCCTGTACAACATAGAAATATTTTCAGGATGTTACATTGATGAGTCCTTATTCATCGTTTGGATAATTTTCAAATAAGTTTTTCAGCAATAAGGCTTCGTGTTGAATAACGTAAATAACCTTGTCTACACTAGCCATTGTATGGCAAAATTTCGAAAATTATTGATTGTCACTCTTTTCAACCAATTGAAAACTTGGTGCAATCTTGATCAATCCTGTTTGAGGTGATACTCAAACTGTATAATGGAAGTTGAAACTTCACACGAATGAAGGACACATTTCTGATTCTTTATATGATTCGAAATCTAACAGCAAATACAAGAGATAATAATATTGCTGCGTGGTTAATATAAAATAAAGAATTACGTACATAGCAAAAGAAGATATTTTGATTCTGAATACACTGAAAGTAATTGGAGATTTGGAGTAATCATTATGGAAGCGTCTCTACCACGGAAGCGACTGCAAGAAACGAGGATCGAGAAACTCATACGGTTCAAATGATCATTTGACAGAACGCCAAGTGCATGTCCTAGGGCATTATTGAATTCCACAAATCTTTATAATGAGTTGTTTCGAACCAAATAGGACTCTCAGACCGGATGAGCTGTTTCATTTTACTTTTTAGTAGTATATAGGAGAAAAAAGAGTTCACAATATACAGTGTCACCATTAGAATGCGCACCATATGGGAAATTCTTTTTTTCGAAAAGTTTCAATGAAGTTTAACTTCGGCACTTTTTTGTGCTTTAAATTTAACTTAAAATGATGCGGCCAACTGCGACCCACTGACGTTCAGTGTTTGTCAAAATCAACTTTTTTTTTGAAAAAAATTGAAAAAGTGCATTTCTAGATCGAATTCAACAAAAAGTTACTTGAAAAAGTTGTGTCTACGGCAATT